GTGTCAGGCAGGGAGCTGGTGATAGGAGGGGCGGGGCCTGTCTCCCCACCCCCAGACCACAGCCAATGAGGGGAAGGGGTGTGTAAAAGGGGAGGGGTATAAAAGTCTTTTCTATGCCCCTCCCCAAGCAGCCTGACAAGGAAGAATCCACACGTGGATCCCTTCCTCCCCTGTGGCATGGAGAACAGGCATTGGGACCTCACACGCTCTCCTTAGTCCCATGCCCAGCCCCTGTGGTTCTGCCCAGGGATGCATGGCATAGGGTGGGAGTGGCCCATCTGTACCTTGATGGTGGTTGTGCTGCGTTCCTCATACTTGCACTCACACAGCAGGCAGTAGGCTTCCACGTCGTTCCCCGGCACGGACATCGGCTCCACCACATGCAGACAGTTGCTGCAACCCAAAAGAGCTGGTGTCAGCGGTGGGATGGGGCAGGCGGCTGAGCTGGCAGGCGCCTGTGTCCTGGGGCCCAAAGCATGGTCAGCAGTTGTGGAGAAACTTAGTGGTGATGCTAGGCAGTGCCAATAGCTGGCTGGAGAACCAGCGAGAACCATCAGGTCTGTCTGCATTCAGCGGCCTCAGCATCAAGCCCCCTCTGTGCTTACTGCAGCTGGGAGAGAGCTCAGATCAGCTCATGCAGGAGCCTGAAGCTCTGGGTGCCTCGATACTCACCCTGTGGGCTGGAGGAGGCTGGAACATACACTGGACACACAATTGCAGATCTAAAAGTAGCCATCCTGCAGCAAAAAAACTTCAGGACCAGACTTCAAAGAGAAACTGCTGAGCTACAGTTCATCTTTAAGTTTGACACAATCAACTCTGGATTAAACAAAGACTGTGAATGGCTTGCTAACTACAAAAGCAGCTTCTATTCTCTTGGAATTCACACCTCCAGATCAGCTGCTAGAAGTGGGCCTCATCCTCCTTGATTGGATCCACCTGGTCATCTCCAGCCTGATCCTGGCCTGCATATTTATTCCTGCTTCTGGAAATTTCCACTACATGCATCTGACGAAGTGGGTCTTTGCCCACGAAAGCTTATGCTCCTACACTTCAGTTAGTCTATAAGGTGCCACAGGACTCCTCATCGCTTTTGCAGATTCAGACTAACAAGGCTACCCCTCTGATACCATACACTGTTGTGTAAACCAGCCTGAGGACGAGCACAGGGAGGTCACTGGATGAGGCACAGACTGCTCACTGAAGCGCAAGGCTCTTTGTTCGACCCAGATTGCAACTGAACAGGAGTTGTGAGCAAGACATGAGAAGTCATGCTGCCGCTCTCCTCTGCGCTCATTAGGCCTCACTTGGAGTCTTGGGTCCTGTTCTGGGGACCATATTTCTGGAAAGACGTGGGGAAATTGGAGAGGGTCGAGAGAAGAGCAACACAAATGATAAAAGGTCTAGAGAACACGAGCCATGAGGGAACCCGGTTTCCAGGTTCAAGCCCATCAATGCTTTGCCAGGGGAACCCCACGAGAGAGCCACTCACCAGTCTTTCTGGGACACATTCTTGTTGTAAATATGCCCACTGATGTTCCGGTGGGAGGGGGGCAGATGCACTTGCAGCGGATGTCCTCCCAGCTCTGCGGGGGGAGAGGAGTTGGCACGTGAGCCGCTGTTCAGGGAGCTCCCCCCACCATGGCGTGGGCAAGATGTTCCCCAAAGGGGGACGACTTGACTTTAGGTCTCTCCTTCCTGCTCTGCCTTTTTCATAGCAACAATCCCTTAGCCACCTTTCAGTCAGATGCTTTCTAAACAGATTGTTCTAGGGACAATTGCACGCTATCATGGCTGTTCAGAGCTTCACAATGGCAGCAGGGCTAGAACTTAGATCCTCCAGCTCTAAAACCACAGGCTGAAGGAGAATCTCCACCAGCTGTTTGTAGTAGAGGGTCTATGACACAAATGTAAGCAGTTCCAATTCCACCTAGAAAAAGGCAATGCCATACACCCCCCCAACACACACAAGCCAATTTTTTGTTACTAATACCAACCATGTTGGCAAACTCTCATAAACAAGCAGCTACTTTTCCTGCACAAACTCCCTGTTGTCCCTGTCTCAGTCGCATATGGCACCTGAGGCTGGTGACTACATCAGTAGCTGTTCCCCACTCTCCGCCCCTCTCCTTGCTGGCCTGCACTGGAGGTGCTAGGACACACCACACCACTGCTGCCAGCCACAGGATCTTCATATTTTCCCAGCTGCGCTGTGCCAATATCCCCAGAGCCTGAAACAAGGACCGAAAAGAAGGTGTCAGGGAAGGATTCTCATCTGAAAGGGACAGCCGAGCTGCAGGATTCGGCTCCTTCATCTTCCCCAAACTCCCCCACCCCAGACAGCAGGAGATTAGTATTTAAATTACAGTAACACCCAGCTCTGGGCCCATTGTGCTAGGTGCTGTACGTACACAGAGCCAGGAGCTGCCATGAAGAGCTTTTATAATGTCAATTAGACAAGAGGGGCTAAGGACAGGAGGGGAAACTGAGGCACTGGGTGCAGAAGAGTAGTGCCTCCAACCTTTGTGGCTCTGTGGCAAGCCTGGCAATATGTGGTGGGGTTTTTAAAATTGTCCCACCTCCTGGAGTGCTGGGATGACGAGGGAATTTCCTAGCCCCTAGCCTCTGTGCTTGTGGAGAAAAGCTCAAACCCGTGACCCCCCTCGAGTCTCAGACTCCAGAAAGAAAACAATGTAAAAATGTAAATTGAAGCCAGTCTCAGGGAGGAGTGGGAGCAAGGGGACTTGCCTCCTGAGTGCCTGTGTCACTGGTGGAGTGGCCCCTTTAAGGAACCAGGTCCAGGGCCCCCTACCAGGACAGGTGCTCTCAGTGTGGCCAGTTAAGGTGGGGCAGCTCCTGGGGCTAGAAAGGATCGAGGGACTGCCAAAAAGAAGGACAGGAAGTGAGGCTGGACCAGCCACCCCCCACCGAGCTGGAGGCAGACTTGCGGTGGCTTGCCCTCCCTACTGATCCAGCCCCCGGAAGCTCTTCCATGGGCATTGCTGGACTTTGGAGCACTCAGCAGCACTGAGCTGCATTTGACATGGGCTGGCGTGTATTGGACATTTGGCCCTGCTCCATCGCCCACTGACTCCCCTTCCCCCGTTCACTTCCAGGCTCAAGACCCATTGCTATTTCCTAGGGCTGCCAACGCCAGGGCATCTAGGGGGGAAGCTGGAGCCCCCCAGCATTGCGGCTGGACCGTGCAGTGCTCGCATATTGCTGGGGACGGACGGGGTTGCTACCAGGAACCCCAAAGGGCCAAGTTAGAAACATTCTTGCACCCGCAGGAGGCTGTAGAGCCATGATCACCAACCCGTCGTGATCGACTGGTCCATCGCGAGGCCTCGACCAGTCGATCGCGAGGCGTTCAGGCACCCCCACCCCGAGAAGCCCCACTACCTCCTCTAGGGTAGAGCCGGCTTCCCACGGGGCGGACGGAAGTCCTGGGTGAAGCCCGCGTCACTTCTGGGGACTCCGGAATTGCGCAGCTGCTCCCCTCCCACAGCTCTGTCACGTGCGGAGGGAGGGGGCGTCAGCTCCCGAAGAGGAGTCCAGCGGCCTCCCTGGGAGGGATGAGTTGAGCGCAGGGATTTCCCTGTGCCACAGGAGCGGGGGTCAGCCCCGGGGTTTGGCCTGGGGAGGTTCCCATGGGGGTTTGTCCGCATGGCGGGAGGGAGGTTTGGCCCCGGGTAAGGTGCCCAAGGGGGTTGGCCATGCTGCGGGAGGAGAAGGAGGGGGCTGGGTTGGCTTGGCCAGGCCACGCCACAGGAGGGGGGTTTGGCCCCAAGGCAGGTGCCCACAGGGTTTCCTTGCGCCACGGATGGGGGGGG